TTCAGTTTTCAATTTTTGGTGGAAAGGGGGTCCCTTCTACAAAGTTCATGATGGAGCCTTTTTTCCTCTCAACGTGCCATGGGTAACCCCGCAGCCATGTATTTATGCCAGCAGAGGAAGCTTACATAGCTTCAAAAGCACACAGATTGCCTTCTACAGCTAGACTTGGCTGTGCATTTAAGTTCTGGTTCAATAAGCCATCCTGTGAGAAAATGATTTTGTCTAGTACAGAAGCAGAGTTTGAAGTTCAAACAGTGACATTCTGCTTTAGGTCTCGTGAATGCTGAAGGAAAAAAAAAAGAAAAGGGCTATTAGATTATGTTCCCCCAAAGAAAAATCCAGTATTTTGCTATGTTTGTATAAAACATGCTGTTCTCTATATATTTCACTTCCTGCAGTGATGTACTTCATATCGTTCATAGAAAATTGCCGGGTTTTAAGATTCTTATTAATAGGAGAAAATTCACTTTCTTGTAGTGCTGAGAATCGTAATGGATAAGCCGGAATGAGGCAGGAAATGGAAGAAACGTCTCAAGTGTTGTATGCCCTTTATTAATAATGAGCAGAATATAAGTGCCTGAAAGTATTTTAGTATTCCAGGCAGACAATTAAAATTAGATGGGGACCTAGAGCTCATTAAGAAACATGAGATTGATTATACCGCACTGTGCCTCTGCCCCCGAAGAGGATCATTTCATTAAATCTTGCTTTTTATAAACCTTTCTCTTAGCCCCTTGTCACACAAACCAAACATATGCAAACAGAAGAAAACATGTATCTTCTCTATCTTCTTCTCACATTTCACATTTTGTAATGGAGACATCAGTTCTTATCTCAGATTAATGTCTACATACACAGCAGACTAGCAAAATGTCCAGACTAAATGGATCCATTAAGGGTGACCCTATAATCGCGATGAGACGCTCTAACCTCTAACTATGTCCCTAGAGAGTCCATGTCATCACAGATCTAAAATGTTTGCTTGCAGGCTACAGTTGTCCCGGCAGAAAAAGTTGCACTGTACCTCACTGATAACTGATAAGTAGTGGTCTTACAGTTGACTGCACTGCTTCACTATTTTAATTCAAGAATTATCCCATTTTACCCTTCATTAATCTCATGATATACCAGAAGCTACCTGTAAAATCTTGTGTTGACAGAAGTGTATTGTATTCATCCATTGAACACAAAAACATATGGATTCCCGCAGGCTTCAGTTTCCAGTCTAGGATGTTGGTAACAAATGAAAATCATTGCAACGTGATGGTTTTTTTAGGGTACAGCTTCATGTTGCGCTTAATCCAATTTAGCTGCGGTCTGCTGCCAAAGTGCTGATCCTGCTCTTCCTTTCTCCCAGCCCTGGCTCCCGTCCTTGCATTAGCAATCACATGCCCGCATGGTGATTTGGATCGGTTCACTGATCCCGTGGGAAATGCATCCACATCCTGCCGGATTAGTCTCCTGTGGCAGCAAGGACACCGTGTGTGTGTGGGAGGGAGGGAGGGATGCCAGCGCATCCCCATTCATTGGTAGCCCCCCCAGTTAGCTCAGATGAGGTAGAAGGTGAAACTCCATCCAGAATGTCCTGTATGGAGTGGGATGGTGGCTCCAGCTCTTTCATACCACAAAAATCCACCTTCTCGGCTTGCAGCAAGGAATGCTCCCGCCCGTGGTTTAAGCCCAAAGCTGTGTATCCGGAGCGGTCAGTCTTTGCAGAGCAGGTACAGAAGCAAACAGTGGAGGGATGACTTTGCTGCAACTAAACCTCTTTCCTAGGCAATCAGAGACCCTCAGCGCTTAGAAACACCAGCCTGTGGCCTTTCTAGCCCCAAAACGTAACACCCAAGAGTGAAAAGCCAGAAATCACAGATAGACCCAAAACTGTGAGGTTTTTATTTTGGGAGGGTTTCTATTAGGAAAATAAATTACAGGTTGTAAACTGTTTTCTAATGTCTGAACCCTCCATCATCCCCACTAAGTATGTGTGTGGGACAGTTACAGCCTGCAATAACTGTGCCCCCACAAAAATGCAGGTCCTGTGCATGTGCCTTCCCACCCTCCCCATCATTCCCATCCCACAGCCTTCTAAAAGTAGTTACCCAGTAAGTTCCTGTAGTGCTCATGGTGCTCTGACACGCTCCAGCCATCTTCCACCTCCTCCTGCAGACCTCCTTTCATTCACAAAAATCTGCTGCAACCTCCCACTTGCACCAGACCTTTGGCAGGATCCCAAACCCTCACGCTCCTTTGGCATCTACAGTTGTCAGCTCCATTTTCCTCCCGTCTTTTTCAAGAGAGCAGGCTTCCTGGGGATTTTGGACCGAGCATATCTTTTCTTCCTGCTGAGATAGTGGGTACCTGATACTTTACGTGCAAAGAAGAACAGATTTTGCTGCTCCACATCAGCACCGGTGTTCTTCCCTGCTCAGAAGTAAATTTACAGGGAGAGTTATGGGCTGTAGGCTCATATTAACACTGATGGAGTAGCAGAGCTGCAGAGACTTCCCACCCCGCTGTCTCCTGATAGCAGAGGGATTTGCCTCAGCACCGTAGAAATGATCAGAGGGAATTGCCGGAGCTCACAAATCTCCATTTATTTTCTGATGAGGCTTAAATGAGAAATAGACAGATAAGCACCCGAATGGGCCACCAAGAATTATCTATACTGACTCTATCTTCTGAATACAGCAAGAAATACAGGGAGGACCCTGCTTTTATACAGACTGACTTGGGCTAAATGCAAATTTCTGCTATGCTCAGTGTCCAGAAGTCACTTAGACACTCTGTTCTTCCTGGATCAGGTTCTGGTTTCCTATTTTAATACTGCGATTGTCTTGCACATCTACTCTCAGTTCTGCTCATTCTGCTTCTTGCACCTAGAATATATCCTGGCCCCAACTGCACCTTCCTCCCAAACTCCCTTGGTGCAAATCATGACCTTCCCCGCTCTTCTTTTGAGAAGCTCTCCGGTGCCAATGCACTACCCACCTGGATCAGACATGGAAAGGTGCTGTAGTTGTGTGCATTGAGGGGCTCAGGCAAAGCATACCGCTATCAGTGGAAAGATTCTCATCAGCTTCGCTGGATTTCTGATTTCTGCTGTTTGTAGGTAGTACATAGGCTCCTCAGCCAATGGTGCATCTTCCTTTCTCGCTTGTATACAGGCTGACACTGTGGCCACTGACTTACTTATTTCCACGAGCAAGTTTCTCAAAGAATGTAATGCAGTTCTATGCTTGCATTTATTTGCATTTATGAAAGTAAAATAAAAATTTCTAACCTGTTCTTTATTACAGCTCAAGGTTTTATCACGTGCTTTTATGTCATTCTTCCAGCAGAAACACAAGACCATGTAGTTATGTTCTGACTGTTAAGCAAAGAAAGAAGCACTTTCGAAATATGCATATCTGTGATTTTTATACATGTAAAGTGTTTGTATTTAACGATTTGGGTGTTTAACCAACTTCTGTAGAGATTATTTTTAAAGTGTTTCAGTTCACCTTTAAAATTAAATTGAAGAAGTCCCTGTGAGGATGAGGGTGCAGTGTCATTAGGGGTTTTAGCTGCTCAAAGACTGCCCCTCCAAGTGACCACCTCCTTCTTCAGCACTGACATCGTTTCATGTTAACTTAACCTGAGCTGGAAACCACACCTCTCCCCTACAGCGACCCTGAGCTGAAGTTTCCTCTGCTTTCCATAGGGCAGACACAGTCGAGGACAGAGCAAGGGAGGAGCAGCTCTGGGGAGAGGGATCAGGGTGCAGCAGTCCTTGGCCCCAACCTGAAGATCTCGTTAGAAGCGCCCCGGGAATTGCCATTGAATGTCTATCCTAACTCCTTCCATCCCAAAGCTTTGGCACCCGGTGTCCCAAACTCTTCCACATCAGCCCTTCCCAAACTATTTCAGCATCCGACGCCAGGGTAATCCAAATTTCTCCTCCTAGCAGCCCTGCCTCCCAAAGCTCTCCCATCCAAGTCACAACCCACTGAAAATCCTTTCTGCTTGGAAGACATCTTCAAGACCCGTTGCCTGAGGGACCATCCAGACCCTGCTCACAACCCTCTCAGCCCTTGCAGCAGCAGCATCCACAGGCTACAGACGTTTCTTCTTGCCCTCCCAAGGACTGTAACAGCCCTATACCCAAAGCTCTTTCCTAAGCGTGCCCGAGTTTGACCCCAAAGTTTGTGGGATAGCTCAAAAACCTGCTGTATATGCTTGAGAAGATGTCAGTGTGAAAAGAGCAGCGTTTAGGAGAGGTCTAATACTGAATGTCATTCAGGAATGAGATGCTCTTCCAGCAAACTCCCTTAATGGACTGTATCTAGCTGGCATGGCCTCACCGATGGCCATCTCAGTGAGCTGGGGCCCCTACCGAATGTGGTGGTTGTGGCTTTCTTTTTAAAGACAGGGGATGGGTTCTGTGGTTTATACAACAGATTAACAGTTTGGGAAGTCACCCAGGAGGCAGGACTCTGAAATCAGTGCGTCCTTAGTCTGTTAGAACCAAGCGTAGATTCAGCCCAAATTCTGTATCCACTGAAAAATAATCTTTTGCTGGAACATCTATACTTCCCTGTATTTAACACAGTGCTGTTTTCTCTGGGGATGTCTGCTGTGCCCACAGGAGCCAATTTTGCTTTGTCTGACTGACATTTTGCTCAGTTACAAAAACTCCCTCAAACCTGCTTGTGGCTTTGCTTCTTAGGGTAGAATTTCATGCCCAGGGTTTAAGTAAGTCCTGCAGTTAAATTGGATTAAATGCAACATGAAGATGTATGCAGCGATTTTATCATCTTTTAGAGTAAGACTGTTGGGTGCTGCAGCCAATAAAGCTGGCTTTATTCTTGTTCTTTACTACTCTGTCAAAGTCTCTTTTCATAATACCACGTAGGATTTTGGCAGTTTTAACAAGTTTTTAAAAGTTTTAAGGAGACATGACTTCCACCAGGGCTGCCAGGGACCACCTCTGCCTTAAATCCATCCAGATATTTTCATTTTCCTCAACACACAGCAGCCCTACGGTCTTCAAAAGCGATACCGATGGATGCAGGAGATGTTTTCATAGGGGTAACCCGAAGCTGTGATAACTGCGAGTGAAAAATGATGAAGGCAAGGATGCAAGAGGGTTTTTTTCTGAGGCTCCCCCCAGCTTTTCCTGCCTTTGTGGTGTATTTTTGTGCCACCTGGTGGTAAGAAATGACCCGCCACTCCCGGGGAGGTGGAATTTTGGGGGACTTCGAGCAGCTTTGCCTGAGCAAGGAACCTGGAGTTGGCAGAAAAAAAAAATAAAAGGTTAAATAAAGGCAGGAGAGCGTCGTATGTTTTAGTCCTATTAATAGTACCTAGAATCTGTAGTCACAGACTGGCGCTTCGTTGCAAAAAAAAAAAAAAAAAAAAAAAGCTCGATCTGGGGAAAGCAAATCAATCCCTCCTGTTCTGGAAGCTGCTTCAAGGCAGGTAGGAGATGGCTGGGGGCTTCTCTGATTCCTGCTGGTTCTGCCAGGCTCCTTGAGCTGGAACTAGGTGGCACAGAGCAGCTCCTTGGGTCTGCAAGTTAGGAGAGGGACCGAGTTCATCAGCTGGGCGCTGGGGCAGCCATCTGCTCTGATGTAGCGGAGAAATGATGAGTCACGCTTGCAATACATGCGTGAACTAACGAGCCAAAACCAAAAAAACCCAACCAACTGGAAGAAAAAAACCTCAAACTAAACATACCCCAGCCTGGGCTTCTGTAGCTCTGTCCGGAATGTGATAGTGAATGACCACAGCCTGGTCCCAAACAGGGGGAGGAGATGGTCTGCGACAGTAAATTCTTGCCCTGCTGCAACAGAGAATAGTATGACCATTAGTCTTTTATTCCTGCTCCCTGTAGAGCAGCAGAAGTCCAGGGTGGAGGACTACCTGGACCTGGAGGTCCTCTCCACGCCCCCCCTCATTTCCATGCTCAGTTTCTCAAGTGCACCCCCCCCTTCCCATGCCCCCCCCAGGTTCAGCACGCAGCCAGGCCCTGCCAGCATGGGACATTCACAGCTTTAACTTTAGTAAACTCATGCAGCAGTGGTGCCCCCCCCGCCCTCCCATGTTTGGGATCAGGTTTCGGTAAAAATGCATTCAATATCATTAATTCAGTTAGGTGGTTACAGAACTGCTCTCAGGCACTCTGTTGAAGTAAAGTACCAGCCTGAAGGAGCTGCACCAATTGAATTAACCTTTACTTGAAACATTTTTTTGTAAGATAAGACCTTTAGGAAACAGGACTCCCATCTAAGTAGAAGACATTTCCAATTTTTACTACCAAGGAAGCATGGCATGGTTTCAGGAGCACTGATTTTTTTTTTTTTTTTTTTTTTAAGTTTATCAGGCTCAAACAAAGTATTTTTCCCACCCGTGAGGACTGGGTCTTCAATTTGGAGTAAAAAAGCCCTGTATGGGCTATGATGGAAAGAAGCTCTGACAGGGACATACATTGCAGTCAGCTGAATCTCACAGGAGGAGGAAAAACACCATTTCACATAAGCAGACAGATGAGATTTCAGCTTAATCTCATGAGGGCTTTATTTGCCGCTAATGGCAGAAGCAGGTCAAACGAGGGGTTGCAACAACAGCTTGAGAGTGAGTGCTGTGAAAGTGCCTCGCTCTATTTCATGCCTAGCTCCTGCATCATTTTTTCTTTAGCTATGCAGCTTTTGGTTTTACTTCTGCCTCAGCCCCAAAATACAGCAATGGTGTTACGGAGACAGCTGCTTTCACCTCAGATAGTCTATGAGTGTTTCAGAAGGTCTTATGGCCGTTTTGGCATTGCAGGGAAAACCAGCTTTTTCTTTCCAGTACTTCTGCTGGCAAAGGCAAACCTATCTAATTAGCTTCTGCCAATAATTAGGATTCTTTTAGGATGCAGTCAGTGACAGTTGTAACACTGTTTAAGATCGTCAAATCAGTGTTTGGCGTGTCAGTACGAAGGATGTAATAACACGTAGTTTCTAAGAGCTGTCCCATTGCCAAAAGGCTTTGGGCTCGGCATCTCATTGAAAATGACCCTTTACAAAAGCACAAGCGGCTCGGCTATGTCCAGCCCAGCTGCTACCCAAGAAAGCAGCCACGGAGGCTACACAGGGAAGAACCTGCTGCACCACGGGCTTCTCCCGTGAGGGTGCACTGCCTACACCCCACCTTTTGCTCAAGCTGACTCAGGCCCTGCTGCAAGACCCCAGCTCTTCACTGAGCTCTCTACACTTATGAAATGCATACCCCAGCCCGTCCTCTCCAAAAAGGTGGCGAACCAATTCCCACACCCTGCCCATTTTTTCCCTAACCGCCCCCCTTTGCTGTCCCATAGAGTCATTGCTCCAGGACTGAGACCTTCCAAGTAGGTACCAGCAGTGGGTGGGCACTGATCTTCACATAAGGCTCTTAAAACATACCTGTGGTTTGAACCAATTCAGGTAAGCACGTAGCTACTCTCTGAAAAACACAGGTCCTGTTTTGCTCATCTTCCTCTCCTCTCTCTCCTACGCAGTCAAATCCACTGTTAAACTTCCTGGGACATGGACTTGTCATCCACCTCTGGGCATTAGGTATTTTATGCAGAGCTTTGACTCGGATTGGGAACGAGCGTGGGAAAGTGATAAAATTTAACAGCAATAATGGAGAGTCCATTGAATTGCAGGCTCTCACGTTACCTTTGTTCTGTGCTAAATTCCACAAAATCCTGTCCTGCAGTGGTGTCTCTAGGAAGAACAGCAGTGATTGAATTAGGCTGGAAATGGGAAATCCTTGATTGTCCTGAACCAATTCCAGGAGAAGTAGGATGATTTCAGGAGTTATTACTTCCCCTTTGAAAATTTGTCTCTCTTTCACTCTTTAAGGCATGACCCAGTTATTTTATTATCAATATTCTAACCTCTGCAACACTGTCAGCGATATTATGCTAAAGCACTGTGTCAAGGTATGAATGAAAAATGTAAAAGTAATTTGTAGAGCAACAGCATGTATAGGTGACTTGCAATTGCTTCCAGGAATAGAATTCCAGGAATTTAAAAAGCCCAACAGCTTTGTATAGACCTTTGCCTAAAACTATAGAGAAGACTTTGAAAGGAATGTGCTGCTTGTTGGCCCATTTTCAAGAACAGCAAATGGCAGGGACTGGATTCATGTAGTTCAGAAAATCTGACTTTGAACAGTTTTAAGTCAAGTGTCCTTAGGTTGAGCTAATGAGCAGTAGGAAAAACATGGAAGCTGTATAGTATATTTGTAATATTAGTAAGCATATGGACATACACATCCCTGTATCTACGTGGCCAGACATGAGTACAGTTTTGATTGCTAGAACAGGCTTTCATAGTTCACCACTCTTGTATTTTTTTAAAAGGTTTTTGTTTGTTTATTTTAAATAAGAACTGAAGTTAGAATGATCAGCTGTTATCTCGATTGCTTTCGGGGCATCTTCTCTGTAACACTACAAGATATGCAAAAGACCCTCCCAGTAGTCTAGACAGCAGCATCCAGAACTAAACACTGTCTTATCAAACTCCATTTCTAACTGTTTTCCTGGGTGGGGGACTCTATTCTCTGTGCATACATGTACATGGACATCTAAGTGCCAGCAACAGGAGTGGGAACCAGGGGTCACAGGGGCCCATGCATCTGCAGTGCCAGCAACATGCACATTGCTTAAATACGTATGTCTGTGTGATTACTTGCAAATATGAAGCTGGACATGCTGTAAAATACGATAGGAGTATTGGGACCCAGGTATCAAAGCAGCTGTAAATCTGGCAAGGCTACTAGAGGGGCCAGGGAGTCCAAGCCAGCTGCTGGAGAAAGTGTAGGATGCGGATCTAAATACAGGAATTCCCAAAACACTATGCAGACCACTGGTACTCCGTAATATGGCCAACGGGGTTACACAATCCTGCTGAGCAGCAAAATTTAGTCTTCCCTACTATAAAATGTATGGGTGTTACAGGTATATTAAGACAGAGAAGACTGACACTTGTCCATTAGCTTCAAGCGATGGAGCACATACAAAGAGGCAGCAGAGAGGTAGGATCACGTTTTGTTAACATGCAACTGTAACTCGTACGCCACTTCCACTGTTTTGTTAGAACACAAGTTTTATTGCTGTTGCTTATTCCAAACATCATTTGCCATTGGCTGTTTACCTGAGTGGACACCTCATTACTATATTCAATTAAAAACCATAACAGGAGTTAAATGGGTAGTTAACAGGCACATAAAGCATTATATTACAGTGCACGTCCAAGTTACTGCCATGTGGAGCACAGACAGCTTTTTAATCTGAGCAATGCCAGAGCTTTGCTCCCATTATCTGTAAGGAAGTACAAAAGAATTTAAGGCACATGTGACCTGCTGCTTTCAAGTAACAGTGAGGCTAGAGGGGTCATGCAGACAGCTTGGCTTCAATTACTATTTCTTGACAACACTTGTTTCTTTCATGATATAAAACTGAAATGCAGTATAAAAATACATCTTTTCACAGGGTCTAATAGTGCCAAGTGCAATTTCAATATTTTAACGCTATGGTATTTAAGCTTGAGGTACATTAAGAGTGCAAATTCTGCTGGAGTTTCTTCAGGATACCATTCAGTAGAAGAGAGACTAATCTTTTCCTCTTGCTTCCCAAGAGAGGCTGCATTTTAAGTTAAAACAGTTTTTCTTAACCTCTCCCATGAGACGTATTATCCAGAGGTGTTACCGATACCCTGATTCCTCTTACTGCAGGGATCGTTAATGGGATACTGTAATTTATAAACACCCCTTGAATACACCTTTTACATCTGAGAGACAGCTTCAGATTGCTTTTCATAGACATCTTGATCCTTTTTGGCTTGTTTCTTTTCTTCCTCATCCAGTTGGGCTTCAATCTCATTTACATCAGTATAGGTATAAAAATAAGCCATGACAGCAAAAATTATGCAAACTGCCAACAGCAAGGCAGCAAACAGCACATACTCTGCCCACTGTACAAAAAAAGAAAAAAAATCCATCAGTATTCGTTCCCAAAAAGAATTACACAATTTTACCGTTTGCAAGAAGTGAATTCAGAATGTGAAACTAAGCATACATAACAAGTATCATATGACTTAAAAGACTAAGTATTAGATGTATATAATACACATTAAAGCAACTCAGAATTGAGGCCCTTTCAGCAGTTCTGTCTTCACTGAAGAGACAGAAGTTCTGTGAATACTGAAAAGCTCTACAATACCCTTTTCCTGGAGGCATGGGAATGGACCAAAAGACTGAAAAGGAAACTCAGCCCCTCCTTTTGGTCAGGTAATCTCATTTTAAACCAGGCTGGCAGTGATCCTGCTTCCACTTAGGTCAGCAGTAAAAAGTTTTCACTGACTGCAAATCTGGGCAGAGGGCAAGGCCAGGAACCCTGGTTTCAAAGTGCTACCTCCACCCAAAAAGCCTCAACAGCTCTGTTTCATGCTCTTTCTGGTTAATTTAGCTGAAACCAGGGCTGCCACACTGGTTTCAAAGACAGGCTTTTCCCTCTCTCAGACAGCCCTTTTAATTCATTAGGGAGTGCCACTAGCAGTCCGAGAAAGTCCTGTCCAAGTGCTCTTCACCCGGAGAACCACAGCTTTCATGCCCCGAAGAATGAGGATTGAAACCAGTGGGGCCAGAAGGAGGGATGCGGCAGGGCTGAGGTGTGCAGGTGAAGGTTCAGTAGCAGTGAACAGAATTTTGGTAGGTTTTAATCTCATTAGTCTAGAATTTCAGCCCAGAAGTTCACAATCTTTCTGCACCATGAGAAGCAATTTATTGTAGAGATGCTAGAAACTGCTGCTTGCAAGCAAAGGAGGCTGACAGAGCAGGAGCTAAGAATAGCAAACAACAGACAGAAGAGGTAGAAGCCTTTGCAGAGGAAGTGTTTGTTGAAGTTGCTTCAAGTTTCGTGCGTGTGTACACATTCACACACATGTTGGGGAAGTGCTGGGGAAAAGGTCCAACAGAAACTTTAGAAGAGGCTCCAGGAGACAAGTTACGACCCTGTTGTCACAGCCTTCAACACTAGTTTTAATCCAAATAGGTTATAAAGATTCATATCTCTGTTACTTATATACTCTAATGAGATTATTCAGTCAAGCACTAGTTCTACAACTGACTGGTACACTCTTGTAGCTAACACTAACCTCCTGTATTCCAACTATAAATGCAAAGCTACCATAACGCCCATGTTCAAGAGTTGTGGTTGAGGATTATCAGCCACAACTCCCCCCTGGATTAGAGCTGCTTTCTCAAAGTGTAATATAATAGCACGCCGACTGCTTGTGTGCTTACCTGCTCACTGAGTTTGGATGCTCCAGCCACGATAAGGACAATTATGTTACCGACAGCCACCGTCAGCAGCCACCCTGCCTGCAGCACTGCCTTCATATTAGATGGGGCCTATTATAGAAGTAAAACACTTACGTTTTAGTCAAATGCTGCTATTGCTTATTTTCTGATGTTTACTGCATTCTTTATGTTGTAACATGCACTGGTTATCTGGGGGGAGGAGGATTTCTTAGGTTTTTTTGTTTGGTTGTTTGGGTTTTTTTAATTAAAAATTGCTAGAGAATTAAACAGACCTGGAGAAGGCTTTGAGGAGCAAGAGATTAGCAGTACTAACTATAACACCTTTTACTTTGTACACACTGAGTAATAACCGGCACATTTTACATCTCGGTCACACATGGTACATGTTAAATGAAGAAATCGAGTGCATCATAGACTAGCAAGCTACAACTTACAACGTTCCCATCACCGCAGTTTATAGACTCAGAATTAAGGGAAGAAATACACACAGCTAATAACAAAGTGGAGTTGCAAGACAAAGGAATTAAAAGTGTATAATTAAACTGCTGCTAAAGACTGTATGGAGGAAACTGGTGTCGAGACGAGGTGTCAGTACTTGTTCATGTCACATTTGAGGGCTCTCCAGCTTAGTTTTACAGCAGCAGTACAGTTCCACTTATTTTCAATGGAAAGTCATGTGCGTGAGAAGGTGACTTGAGGGCTAGTGGTCAAGTCTTCAAATGATATAATTCAGCATAGCTTCATGGAAAACACTGAATGCTAGTGAAACAAGGCCAACTTGCACCAGCCTATAGTCCTGCTGGGGAGCTCTGAAGGACGTAATTGTTCAAAGCAAGCAGCAATACAGAACCACCGCTTAAAAACAACAAATCACAGAAAATCTGCATTTGTACCAGGATTCTTAACACAATGAGAGCTCTGAAGAGCAAAACCTACCTGTGAGTATGAAAACTCCAGCCCGGTGACAGAGAAGACTACTTCTGCACATGTAAGAATAAAATACTGAGGGATCTGCCAAGCCATATGAACTGTATTGGGTGGGATATCTTCAGAATATGTTACATTAAGAGTGTCTCCCACACACTGGAAATTAAAATTGCACATTAGGAACAGTGATAAAGAGTCTGTACGCTAAAGGCGCTCTAACCAGTTCTGTATCATACCTATAATCATATATATGCCAAGTTCTGGGTAAATAAGGAGTATTATGTATGAAGCACTCCGTACTTATTTATAAAGTAGTAGTTATTCTACAGCAGACTTCATGCAATTCCTTAGTGTCTAATAGGGCTAAAAATTTAAGGCCATTAGTGATGAACATGAATTCTTGCATTATGTCATTATCATACCCATCATTATTTTTATAGTTAATGGTGGTTTTATGTTCTGTTTAACATACCAGAATTCTATCATATGTACAATAAAGGACAAGAGGAATAATTATACAAGTGTTTTTTTAGTTAAAGAAAATATTGACATGAAAAGTAATTCTGTATTCTCCATGCAACAGCACTGGCAACTCACCTGGTTAATTACAATTGTATAGGCACTGCCAAAGCCAAATGCCTTTGAAGTAACTGAACAAGGGATTGAATTTCCAATAGCCACAATCTTATCTTTTCTGAAAAAGAAAAAAACCCCACAGTTCAGACCATAGGTATAGACAGTTGCATGTATTATATATAATAAAAGAGTTCTATGTCCTTTTTCCAAGGACAAGTATGTCTTCAAGTGGTTAGATTAGGGTAAAGGAAAATGCTTACCTTCCTCCTGGAAAGAGGTTGTAATTACTAGCAGAAAGAGGCATCAGTGTTCCAAAAGAAGTGTCACCCATAGTGACGTTGACAGCATCAGGCAAATTGTTTATGAACCTTTAAAATGCAAGAGTGATGAAATACTATGCAAAAATATACATAAGTCAAAGAATACAGGTTTTACTTTTAATTATATACTGGCAGCACACATGCATCAAGTCTTCCCCTTTTATTTTTGTCAGTTAACAGTTATAAAGAACTCTAAATCTCAAAGCATGGCCAATGCAAAAAGCAAGCTTGACCTACACCAGCCCACTGCCTGCTTAGGAGAATGTCAAAAGCAAGCCTCTACTACAACCAGTAACAAATGCATCTGCAAATGGAAGACATAGAAGAAAAGTAGAGAAGTAGTAGGATACTTAGGATACTTCTTACCCAAGATTAAGAAGGAGGTATATACAGGCAAGCTGTGCTGGTTGTCTACAAAAAAGTCTAGACAACAGAGCTAAACATACACTTCCAATTTTAGCTAAATTATACCCAAAGTCGATATGCAACATAGTTTAGACAAATCATGCCCCAGAGCTTCCTTCCTCCCCTAAACACTGAGTGAAGCGTCCAGCGAGTGGAGAGTTCCTACAGTGTAGAAAATTATGCTAAGCAGAAGAGTCCACCCAAGAGGCAGATTGAAGAGACAGTCACACTCCTGCCAAAATTTAGGAGCAAACCAAACTCTACCTGATGAGATTATTTCCTTCTTCTGGTTTTGATGTAACATTGTCAAACAGCTGGTGGAAGAGACCGTTATCAAGATACTTCATTAGCATTAGTGAAGAGCTTAAATATGCACTATTACACAGCAGTGAGAATTAACAGAGGCTTCAGAGCAAGACTCCAGACCTTCCCTTTTAGGATCCTATTAGGATACACATCGACTAGAAAACGCTGTATGACCACACATTTAAGTCTTGGTGAAAGGGTAATTGTCAAGATTGTCAAGTTAAATACTAAGTTGGTAATTTTTTACTTTTTTTTTTTTTAAACCATATCCTGCCCTGCTCTCTGCTCTACCAGTGAGACTGGTGAGCTGTAGAGAGGAGGAGAGGCAGAAGATAAGACAAAGGGCTTGTCCTCTCAGCTTCACGCACTCCACATAGATAGCTGCTAAGACATTAATATATATCTTGGGAATGTAAGCAGACTTACCCATTTAATATCAATGCCTGTCGCAGTATTTTTAACTCCAAGAGTGTGACGGCTTCCCCCTGGCAACTTGACAACTGCATTTATAGTTTTATTTCCAGAAGCTATGTTTAATGATTGCAACTGAGACGTCTCAAATGTCATGTAGCCCGTCTATAAAGACAAACAAATTGCTATGAATTTCCATGCAATTACATATTTGTCTACACCTTTGAGGGAGTTTTATGGACTCCGGGTGGTCAGAAGTTTATACATGTGTTACTTCTGAAGTGCCAGAGATTGTGGGCATCTCCTAATTTTCATTTTTGTTAGGTTTTCTACATCAAACATTAATTTCATTTGATCATTATTTTTTATTCATTTCTTTCATTACACAAGCTTCAGAGTAACATTAGCCTCCCACAAGCATTATGGAAAAGCTGTTATATTTTCCTGTGTATTTCTTGCTCCAGATAAATCAGGCTTACCACTGCCATCAAGTAAAATTCTGTTTAGCTACAGAGGCAGCACTAGCATGAGTTAAGATGCAGCATTTTCCAAACAGCAACACCTCCTAAGAGATGCAAATTCAAGCTGTGTCTTTATGGTTGCATAGCAGGAATGACTATTACCAGGCCACGTTTTAAATATTCTAAATACATTTCATCAGCATAAAATACTTAAAACATTAATAAACATGTTGATGTAGTACTAAACCCCCTTGTTTTATACGATTATAAAAAGTATTTTATAATCCAGAACATCTGGATTTTAAGATGTCTATAGCAGGGAGTGGAGCATTTTACACCCTTCATTTTCAGGTATGCACCACAGTTGTATCAATTCCACATCAGCATACAATTTGGGTGCCATTATCTTCTCCTCAGCTCAGTTTCCATGTGAGGCAAATTTGGAGGAGAATGGAATAGGGTTTCTCCTCTTATATGGAAACAGGATTGCAGGCTGTCAGAGAACATGCTTCCTAACACCCGTTATTATACATGTCCATCAGCTCCACCACATTTTGCTGGCAATAGGGCTATCAAGGTTGTGCTGTAATAGAACCCAAAAAAGGTTCTTTAAGAGCAAAATCTGAAGCTTAATATATGTGATGTAGCCACAGAAAAAAATTCCCTGTTTAAGTAAGCAATCACTCACGGTAAGAGCAGTGATTTACTGGAGCTGAATGGACTTTTACTGAAGGAAAGTGTGTTCTTGCTGTTAAGAAATGACACCTTTTTAGCAAGAGTGAAATTTTCCTTTAGTTCAAAATCACTATTAAGTTTTGTAAAAAAAAAAAACCTCTTACCGAAACAAACTAGTACTACTTACAATATTGAGAGTTACCATTTCTTCATTCACTGTGTTTTCAGTAACAATTCATTCCACAATAAAAAAAAAAAAATCTTTAAAATGAATAGAGGAAAAAAAAACTAGAAAAGAATCAATTTTGAACCATAAGTTAAGAACCACTTTGACTTACTCCATTAGATTTTTTTTTTTTTTTTAAACTTGCTATTCCCCATCTCCTGTTACTTACCGACTTCATAGACATTACATCCACACTCTGAAGTTTAGGTTCAAACTGAACTGTTGCATCATTAGTACCTAGATTTATTATTTTGATTTGGGATTGCCCAGCTGCAGGGAAAACGGGAAGAGTTTTCTGCAGGACAGAAAAAAAGTAAAATCAATGCCCTAAGTCACATGGAAAAAGTACTATAATTACTGTGATCTTAGTTATCTCATGATGAAGATTAGCATTTGCCCGATGATCTGTGATTGTCAGAGGCTGCAACTTTAATAATGAGTTTCGTTACTAGTCTCCCAAGCTGCCTTACTGCTGCCTCAAGAAAGAAGTGTCTCAACCCCAACAGTGCCTCTGTGGCCAGATGTGGTTCCTCTTTGATCACGTCTCCGGCCGCTACCGAGGCCACTCTGCAGTTCAAGGGATGGGCTTTTCCCACGTCCTATGGGTTCCTGAGCTTCTCCGTACCATGTTCTGACTCGCTCTCCCCCAGCACTGGTGCTGCTGAACTGGACAGAAGCATGTATGGGCACTGCCCAGTGTGACAGCCCGGAGAAACCGAACTTCTGGAGACTTCGCTTCCCACCAGATCTAGCAGTAAATAGCTTCTGCTCTTGCAGAGCATCAAGAGCCGGAGGAGTTGTGTCTATTTCAGTTCTGCCTCAACCTTTCTTTGCCTCCCACACTTTTGTCATCTGCTCCCATCTCTTTAGGTACATCACACAAGAAAAGCAGTTCCATCTTTACCTTTCTGCAGGAGATTCTTGTGCAACAGCCTGGGAAGTTACCAGCTTTGATGAAGTTTCTTCCCAATGCCAGTACGTGTGTGTGCACAGCCCCGGCCTTCCGGACAAAACGTTCAGGAAGACAGCCTGGATGTGTCTATACCAGCTGAAGGCCAGACCCTTTACTTCCCACTTCAAGAGGCAGACTTGAATATAAAGCTGGTTTCACTGCTGGACCCAGGCATTGAGAGTTCCTCATTCCTAACAAAAGCTATTTAACAGTTGAGCATCTTGCCTTGATAGTGCATGCAGACAGGCAGGCACCTCTGGATAGCTATCCAGGGATGCAATGGATCACCTTCCAGAGGTGTTGCCGACACCTCAGCTACAGGGGAAACCTTCATCTGGTTCAGGCACGACACCTCCCTTTGGGGCAAGGAAAGTTCGGTGTGATGAATCCTGCCTTAAACAGGTATCAGCTTTGCCCCTGCTCTGATGATGCTTCCCAGACTGTCACACTTCACCTCTGGTCTAAATACCAGAAGAGATCAGAGATACGAAGCAGGTAGGCCAAATAAATCTCTGGTTTTTCAGCTTTTAGTCTCAGTTTAAAGACCCAAGGCTGCCTTAAATGCGTGATCTATGCTAACGGCAGATGAGATGTTTTGCAGGACGGTGTCCATAGCTAGTTAACTTTATTATGCTAATCACTATTGCAATATACTTTAATATTTTCCCTCCCTCTACTTCTGTGCTCATATGCTTGGTTCCAAATTTAGGAGTCTTGGCTCATTTTCCCCTTAAACACACTTTGTTCTGTATTAACAACTAAATATTAATAGTAAATACTTGCACATGGCTGAACTTACATCTATTTGCACTTGCACAAGGGCAGCAGCAACGAAAGCCAAAGATGCAAGGAACATACCAACAGTGATCTTCCTCAGGGGCCTAGTACAATGACAAAACATATACGTGAGTTTTAAGACAAATATTAATTCAAAGCCTCAGCCGTTAGTTATTTTCTTTCCACGGTGGGGAAACTCAAATGGCCGCAGCTAGCACATTATCACCACTTGAAGGGCTGATGTTGTTACAGAAAGTGTTCTGCTAAGCTGGGTACCTCTCGATTCATAGTTACACTATCGGGAAATACATCCTTCCTGCAGCATCTGAATACCACGTTATTCTGCATTTGCTGGGCTCAGATATTGACTGAACATAATTATTAGGTTTCTGGAAAAGTTTTATCTGCAGGAAGGAAAAACCCTATCCAGTACACTTGCTAGCTTTAAAACAACAAAAAGACAAGAAGTTGCGCCTTTTAAAAAAGGATAACAATTTGTGTCAATATTGCTATGTTTAAATCAAAATAATATTGAACAAAAAGTGTCAGGGAAATATGTTGAATTAGGAGACATCTACTGACATTCAGGTGAGCTGTAAGGGTAAATTTAAAGGGAGATATTTCATTAATCAGATGTAGAGTGTCCACAAATGAATGGCAGTGTTTCCAGCACAGCACACGCCCCCAGTTTTTCATAAATAGATGGAAAAACAGCATTGCATCTCAGCCCTATAAAAATTAAGAACTGTATTATCTTCTGCCTCTCCAACCTGGAAGTGCTAGCTACTTCATTACCCACATTAAAAATTACATGCAATGCCCTCTGAAGCTACACCTAGAAGTATCCAGTGAGCCAGACTCCTCACACAGAGGAAACACATCTTGCCTCAGGTAGTTTTAAGCCCAGAACCTGACGCATGCTAAGGATGTATGTTGTATTTCTATTTCTTAAACTTTTGGGAGGGAGAGGGGGTAGACATGGGGGAAGGGGGAAGTGGAAAACAGTAAACAGCATCTCTCCTGCAGTCAAAAGATTTTGCCCTTAAAGGGAAATTACTGTTATTTTACTATTAGATTCTCTTCCTCTAGTCTGTGGTGCCTGTTTTCTGTGGTTTGGGTTTTTTTTCATTTCCTGAATATATTAAACCCATTTTAAATGCACTGAATGCTTGCTCTTGTTACGTCATGGCTGGTAGCGCAGTTTAAAGAAACCATTAAAATGAGCCTCTTTTGAAGTCAAGTAAGTACATCAACTTACGTAAAATTGATCTTGCATTTCTTGATTAAAGGATAAACCAGAGCATCCACAACTGGGACCATTATAATAATCAGGATCGGATTCACAGTCTGTTGAAGATGAATATAAGAAGGGAAAAAATTAAGTATTTTTCAAAGTCCTTTCTTCAATGAAATGCAATTAAAATATATATATATACACACTTTGGGAAGTACTTAGAATTATCAGACAGAAGATTACTGTACCTGCATCTGGTCTGGCTGAATCTGAATAGATCCCTGGTGAAGAAAAAATAAATAGGTTTTAATGTTATGACAACAAATAAAACTGATCTGAAAAGTAAATGTTAATTAGGGAAAAAAGCAATAAAAAGTAACCTACAAAATTCCCATCCATTGTTGTGGCCTGCAGTGTCCATCTTGACCCCTTAACAAAAGAAGAGAGAGGTAAATGACACAGTAAATCAAAGTTCCTCTCTAATTGTTTTTGTAAGTGAAGCGTTGGGAAAGACATGCAGTACAATAAAAATACAAAGCGAGCTTGCTACAGGAGTGTTCTTCCTCTGCAATGTAAATATTTGAACAAAGTGGTCCTTGTGGCCCATTTCACTTATTTACTAGTTTTGCGAACTAGAGCAGAAAATAATTTAGACGCAGAGATTAGCCGGAGAGATGGCAGGGACACCCCGCACAGAGCGCTGCCGCCTGCGCGAGCCCGAGCCCCCCGCACCGCTGACACGTCCATCCTTCTCCACACAGCCCAGCAGACAGCGGCCAAACCAGGACTGGACCTGCCTTGAGCCCTCTGCCCCAAAAACCTGCCAATAACCGGTTAAATGGGGCTGGCTTTCAGCCGGAGCCCAGGGCGAGACAGGAACGCGCATCGCTGCGTCTGTGGCGAGAGCCTTTTAACTACCCGCGATGTACCGCTGGCTGAGAGACGAGTTATCACTCATGTAATGAGTACAGAGTTCTGAATTTCATATCAAGGTTGCCCATTTATAACAGGTCACAACAGTAGTTAAGCTCACTGGTACCAGACTAAAGCAGCACGACCTATGCAATCCGGACCAAACTTCCTACGGTCTGCCTTGGATAAAGCCTCGTTCTCTCCGACACCCTCCTAAATTCATACTTCAACACTTTGAAAGCCTACTGTCACGAGTCCTGAGCACTCAGTCCACCAAGTGAATGGGAATTATAGGCTAATACTTCTGCTTGAATGTGTGAGGTATTTGTAACAAGTTTGAGTGATTAAGCAAACCGGCATCCAGGCAGTTTCAGCCCTGGTTCTCCAGAGCATTTACACTAGGACCCTACATTTCATGTCACAACTGACAGTGGAAGAAGCGTTAGAACTAAGAAAGCTTTAAATTACTGTTTCACCCTCTGAGTCCTGGCTGATGCAAGATTTAGAGATACCTCAGCCACTGAATCAGTCCTGGGCATCTCCAGGTAAATTGAGTTTCCCCTGGCTGCAGAACATCCTGTACTAACATGACTCGGTAACTACCCCTTCGCATTAGAACCAAGTTAAAGAATTTGCAAAGAATTATTTTCCACCCTCCCACAGGCACCTTTTATGTCTGGTCACCTCAGAGTACATAGAGTGACGTGGTACATCTCTTATTGCCAAGCCAAACAATTTCTACTTTACCTGCTGGTCAAAAAGCGCCCAGAACATGGGGAGAGGGATGTAAAGGAAAAGCACCTTCAACACCATCTTAGTCTGAGCAATCAGTCGTTTCTGCAGCAAACAAGAATTACACAAGAGGAATTTGTCAAAAAAAAAAAAAAAAAGGGACAGTTGTAGACTGCTGTTCACAGCACAACAGGTGAAGACACATCAGGTAATCTTTACCCATGTCCTAAACTTTGTATATTGTGGGTACTTCTGCTGATTTCTGTTAAGAAGCACAAGGTCTGCTTGTGGGTGTGGGAAGGGCTGCTGGTTAAAGGTGACACTGATATCAGAGAGACCTGTGCCTCTTGGCATGTGTACTGATGGCAGCATGAGATTTAGCACTTAGTGCTGCATTTTTTGTTCTAGGAAGGAGGCATTTGAATGACTGGTGACTGAGGAATGCATTTCACACATGAAAAATGCACATAGGCAAGAGGAAAATAAAGGGGACAGGCTAAGGTTTGTGCTGCCGTTGACAATGGGGAAGGGTGGATAGGTGGCAAGGGACATGGTTTGGGACTGTGGGACACAAGGCTTTGAGAGTCATGGTAAGGAGCTTGTACTGAGGTCGGGGGGATGCAGTGTTTACCCACTTAAGCTGAAATTCCTAAGCATAATTCTGCAGTTCGACCCTGAGACAAGTGTTACAGCCCTGCGCATTAACTATGACAGTCAACACCATGCCCATTTTTCCCTTCTGCAGTCGTTAAAGCAGCATATTTTTGTTTGAAGCCAGTTTACCGAGAGAAACAAAAAGTTGACAAGGATAATGCTTGCTATTTTACTAACTCCAAAACTAATAGGTGCTTGCATTTGTTCGACAAGGGAAACAGCCTTTTCTTTATCTCCCTTGAATTTCCCTGGGCAGGCTATGATCACACGGAGCATCAACTCAGACAGCTCTGCTTTCTCCCACGGGAGCTGGGGTGATTACCTACAACCCCAGGGAAGCACTGAGGTTTGGCCAGACCGTTAGCTTCTAAACGATTGAGAGGCCCAAAACTATTTGCCCAGTGCTTGAGGCAGCAGATCAGAGCAGACAGAAGGGAAGGTGAGGGTTGAGGGATGTCACGGCACAGGAGTCCTCACCCAGTACTTACGTCATACTTCTCACTCGCCCAGTCTAGCCAGTGCTCTCTCTTGGGGAACTCCTTGCTGCGATGTCGAAACCTGTTTTTGATGGCAAACTGAGGAGAGACAGAATTTTGTTTAATGGCATTACAAATATTTATAAGTGCTATAAACTGTTTTGTCATTAAAGATGACACTCCTGCTTCTAGTGCTTAGAGGGTGCTAAAGGTAACTTACTTCTGTGAACTGCTGTAAGCATTGAGGGAATATTGCTTTTAAGGCATCACACTGGATATCCAGTGGAGTGTGCACCTGGGATTAGCTGAACCAAACAGCTCAGAGTAGTCTCTCTCAGTCTAGGTTGCTGTTAGGAGCTTAAATAAGTCTGAAGTAGGCAGGTCTTCATGTACAGCAATAAATAGAAGAACACCATATGCACAGGTTTTCAGAGCTGAATGTCTCTAAGAGTACATTTCACTACGAGAAGCTGCATCTTGTAGATATTTCTCATACCTTGACACTGAACATACACAAATATAGTCCTGAAGAACCCCTAAGACTTTCTGCATGGAATAACATGCAAGGCTGAGCTGGGCCTTAGGAGCAGAGCTCTAAGCAATGGCCAAAGTCACATATAGAGATTTGGTGCTGACAGCGCTTACAAGACAAGCAACGGTCTGGTCTATAACAAGCTGGCAGACCTGTGTGGAGAATGAAGCAGCCCATAAATGAAAAAAATCCCCTGATCTCAAAGCTGAGGTACTGCAAAGTTGGGGCATGCAGTGCTATTAATGCAGATTTAGCTCCCTTTCTTGCAGGCTTGCACTGACATGTGAACCTCCCTGATCTCCCCAATACAGTGGGGATCAATATACCTCTGCCTTGTAAATAACATCTTTGCTGATAAGATATACTAGTAGCTCTGCTCTTGACTCAGGTCAAGGCATGTTTGTCTCCTCCTACAAGGCTGCATAAAGGTGCACAAATGAGAAAGAAATGATTCCCAGAAGTTGGGATAAGCTTTTACATATACCTGACATCTTACTTTGTTTTCTTCATGTAAAAATTCACATATAAACCAAGATATAGATAAATAAAAAGGCACTCTAAATCTGGAGGTGTCAGTAAGAACCCCTCCATAAGGAAAAAAATAAAAAAACCAAAAACAAAACACAAAAAAAACAACTTAAGAAGCTTTCTTCATATTATGACAGATTTCTGATCTAGGCAAGTTTACTGAACGTTTTAAAAATTGCTGCCAGGGTTTTGGGCATACAAATAGTACTTACTCCAATGCATTTGGAAACTTGAATCATTATATTTCCTTGAGGTTGAACTTTCTTGTACATTCTGCTTCCAACTATGAACACAACTGCAGTACGCAAACAGAAACAAAAATCAAGTCAGGATTAATTGAAAATAGCAGCAAATAATTTGGTATGGAAACAGTAACAGTCAAGGAGCTACATCAGGGTGGGAATAAGCCTCCTAAGGAGCAACGAAATTGCCTATTGCCATGTTATCATACAGTAAAAGAAATCAGATTAATACCAGCAGATTGCTTCTATTTAAGACAAAGGACTAAATCTGGCAACTCTTAGGGTAAGTCCTCAGTGGGACGTTAGCTTAACTGAGGGAAGGTCAAAACAAGGGCCACTTCGGACCTTGGCTCTGGCCTTGCTGTACAGGATTAAGACAGCTCGCAGGGCTCCTTTTCGGGAGTCTGGAACGCTGCGGCTCACGTCGCGCAGGGACAGGCGAGGCTCTGCCTGACCTGCTGGACTCGCCGAGGCGTCCTCGGCTCCCACGTCCTGGCACGTTCCCCATCCTCACCCTCCCACGTGCGGGACAGGGCACCGGCAAATCCCCGCAGCCGCCCTCCGCCCTGGGTCGGGCGCACAGGCAAGATGGGGTCACCTGGAGCTGGACACCCACCCTGGGTGGGCTCCTGGTCAGGACCATGAAGGACCAGGACCGTGAAGGACCAGGACCACAGGGGATGCTGTGGTACATACTGATACCCTTCCAGTTTCTCGGTCGTTGTGGCTCGGGGAGTGACCCGTAGCACAGCTAGTAAAAACGCAAGTGTTGGAGAAATACTGACACACCAGTATGGCATTTCTCCAGCGCAGGGACGATTACTTTATACAGTTCACTATCCTGGACCACGGACAGTTTCCAAAACCCACATTTTCTCAGAGTTCTCACACTACATTCAAAAGATCTTATTTATACACCCCAGCAGTCCAAGACACATAGACGGTAAGTTACATAATGTACAGAATTCAATGGTATATTTGTGCCTCTCCCCAGGCCCATCAGTCTCGCCTGGTAAATCACTCTCTTCTGTAAAAGCAAGTGCTTCAGGTTAATCCCCACCCCCCACCCCACCTCCCAAGTAAAAAATTGCAGAAATGATCAAGTACTGGTAGAAGTTGGTACCTGGAGCTTTCTATCACTTCCTCATTATTCTGAGATCATTATAATCTAATCATGTCTATAACTGAAGCAGCAAGATGGAAGCAGTCCCACTTACCCAAGGCGACAGCCATGAGTGCAGCAGGAACTCCAAAAGCCAGTGGGTAACATCTCTGTTTGCTATGAATGCCACACTCTTGAGCTGAAGTACAAAGTAACATTAGATAAGTCCTAGTCAGCTCTGCCAGAGTTTTTACATAGGGTTTCTGTTCTTTGCATTCATTAACTCAGGGGAAGGAAAAAAAAAAATCTCTGCTGACATTGACAGAGTGGATAATCAGTATCCAACTTACCTTTCATTATTGAAAAGGGGAATTATATATCACAAAAAAAAAAATTAAAAAAATCACAGAACAGTTAGGTGTTGGAAGGGACCACTGGAGGTCATCTGATCCAACTCCCTGCTCAAGCAGGGCCACCCAGAGCTGGTTTCCCAGGACCATGTCCAGATGGCTGTTGAATATCTCCGAGAATGGAGACTCCACAACCTCCCTGGGCAGCCTGTGCCGGTGCTCGGTCCCCCTCACAGCGACAAAGTATTTCCTAATGTTTCAGTTTGTGCCCATTGCCTCTGGTCCTGTCCCTGGGCACCACTGAGCAGAGCCTGGCTCTGTCCTCTTTGCACCCTCCCTGCAGGTATTTATATACACTGATGAGATCTCTTCTCCAGGCTGAACAGTCCCAGCTCTCTCAGCCTTTCCTCATAGGAGATTTACATTTAGTTTTACACTGAGAAGTGAAGAATCCTACTAGGATGGTCAAACGCATATTCTTGGTGAGAAAGGAACTAGATTACAAAAGTTCTGGGACAAGTTCATAAACAAAAATGTAAGTAACATAATAAGTGTAGCTTGTTGAAAAAAATTCTCAGACACCACATACCCTCGCACCCCCCCCGGCAGCAGTCAGTGATTTGACTTTATAAACTTCACACATACATCCTGAAATGATGCTCAGAGTGTGGACATAGCTACTAACAGGGAAAAGTAAAAGACTAAACAAAATCATTACCTTTTTCACCATACTTCTTCTAACAGGAGACTTAGAGAGTTTGATTTGAAAAAATATTAGCTTGCAGCTAATTAATGTCTTGATTTAGTTGCATTAGCCTTTTGGTTAAACCATTACAGGACATAATGGTATCACTTCCCTCAGCTGAACTTGGCTGTTTTTCCAAGGCAGTTTTCACCTTGTATCAGCATGGAAGTAAACTGCATGTTGTGCCTTATGCATATCTCCTTCCACTTTGGGAAAGGATAGAATTTGCATTAAACAAACATCTAAAATGCTTCTACACAGTCTGTTCCAGTCAAGACATCCAAAGGCCAGAATTTCAGCCTAGTGCTTTAGGGTTATTCCAGAACTCACATGCTGTTTTCTTCCTTTTGAGAAAAACAGCCTTCTTCAAACTCCTGCCAAGCACATCCACACAGCACCATCTGTGTAAGCTTGCCGTGAAAATCCATATGCATATAGATCAGTGAATCGTTTGCTTTTTGTTTAGGATCACGCTATTCGTTATAAGCAGGAGAGAAAATAACTTTCTCCTTTAACACTATGAAAAACATCATTTACTTTGTCACATGGATAAATGTGGTCCCATGTGCATAGATGCTTCTGTACTTCGCATGGGCACACTTTAGAATTGTCTCCGCTTCCAGAATGGAGGGCTCTCTCCCTGCTTCCCTTCCCAGACAACAGTACAACTCTTTCTTGTGTGATGGTTTTAAAGGCATTGGAAGAGGTGCCACATTTGTACCTCCATGGAATTAAGACGTGCATTAGGCAAACAAGTTGATGGCCTCCTCAGATCTAGTACTTCTGATCCTAAAGGCAATTCAGATCTCAAACTGGCTTCTTTTTGACAGTACCTCACCTGTGGGAAGTGGGATGACATACATGAAAACTTGAAGGCTACTTGCGAGGTGGACTACTTCCACAAGGTGTCAAAGAATAAAACATTCATTTAAACCCAACTGGACTGCAGTCCAACACTCATCCTTTACTGATGTTTAACCATTTTATAAACAAATGTGTGGCCTTACCTCTGAGAATTGGGGTGATTATAGTAGATAGAAGACTTCCAGCATTAATTGACAAATAAAAGATAGAGAAGAATCTAGTTCTTTGTTTTTCCTGCAGTAAAAACAAAAAGTTGTTTAGAAAGGCTTAGCCAGAACCACGTTGATCAGCCTAGATCAATCAGCAGCTCTGTTTGCGCTGTTCAAGACAAATAGTTACCTAGCTCCTTCTTCAGCTACTCAGGAAACACTGCAGTAATGCACATGTCTAAATATGTTTATTATTATTAGAGTATTATAATAGTCAAACAGTAAGAGTATCTGTATGATCAAAAAATCTCAAAGACATTGTTACCTGATGATCTTCAAACTGATCTCCACCAAATGCTGACACACAAGGTTTGATCCCACCAGTACCAAGTGCAATAAGGATCAAGCCAATCATGGACAGAGCACTGGAACAAAGCAGAAAAGAGAAAAAGAAAAAAAAAAAAAAGATAAGCAAAACCACTTTGCTTTCTTGCTTAAAGCATACGTAAGAGACTGATTGCAAGCCAGTTGAAATTCAAGTAGCATAAATTTAAGGCGTGAGTTGTCCCACCCTTCATCAATCTGGAAAAAAAAAACATGTAAAAGGCAACTCACATGTGCACTGATACATTATCGGGAGAGCCATCCCGGTTGTGATCCGTCAGGTCATTTATGGAGCTCACAGACATGATTGCCTGCCCAATAGTGTAGACAATGGACAGGGAGACAATGGTCCTGTTATAAAGAGAAGAGATTAATTTTTAGATATGTTAACACAATTACACACGTATTCATGCACACAGAGATAATGCAGACTTCTTGCTCATTTCAAAGGTGCTTAATAAAGAAGCATAATTAACAGATATGACAAGTTATGGACTCAACTTATCACAAGCTACTGTGAAAATCTCTCCACGCACCTCTGTCACAATATTTCTATTCTTTATTTTTTAATTATTATTATTATTTTAGCTAGCCTTGTTTAATTAAGCAACGCTCTTGCCTTGATGACAAATGGATTCTGTAGATACCACCAGGTCTCGGGAGATATTTTAATATCTTCAGTGGTTGCCTTTTTAATAACCAACTCAAGAATGCCATTATCATATTTCATATATGGTGAAGTTCAAACAGGCTGCTCTACAACACTGAAGTATGCAATTTACACTGATTTTAATATTGTTTAAACATTCTCTATGTTCTTTTATTAAAAAAAAATAAAAAATCTACTTTAAACATGGAGACTCCCCCAAAATACTGTTGTGAACGATGACTCTATTACCCCACCCTCTCAGTTGTAAGCGTACCAACATCTTTAAACTCAGAGCAGGGCAAAAGCAGCACTGAAGAGTACAGACCGCAGGCTTTCAGCCTGACTTTTCTCTGCCAGGCGGTGCTAGGAAGGTAACACTACAGAATCACCAGCCCTCACCCCCATGCCTTTAGGGTCCGTTCCTCTTTCTTGTATGTAAGAACATACTCCATTTTAACTTTGTTGGAGCTTAAGTACGCGACTATAGTTTAATGCACGCTCATCTGCTGCTTTGGTTGGGGGTCCATTCAACAGGCACAGACCCAGATCTCCAGTTTGGAGGAAAAGCAGGAGAAATAGGATGCAGTGATGTGAAATTATTTAAAACCCTAGTTTGCAGGAGAGGCAGTCCCAAACCCAGTGCAGCCCATGACAACGAAGGGCAAGGCTCAAGAACCTAGGACAATCTGAATCTATTTGACAAAGGCAAGAGATCCTCACAGCAAGCTTGGAGCACCCTGATGTGAGAGGGACAGAGGAAGCATCGCTCACACCATTGACCAAGTTCTTCTCACTTCAGAACAAGGTTTCTCTGACTTAAAAATGCTCTTTCCTGTAGCAGGGTAAAAATCCATACAAAGTGGGGCAACAGTAGTTCTGCTACTTAGTGGTATTTAGCAGATAAATCAGAACTTTTTTTTTAAATAGCACTTCCATATAGTTACTTTAGTTGCTTAACAACTTAGGAGAAAGTTTCCAATTGAAGTTAAGCCTGAGCTGACCCAGAGAGAAACTTCTGGTTTTTATTTGTGAATCTCATAAGCATGCTATGAAAACAACACTTACATAATTGGCACTGCATGGATGGTACCCAATTAAAAAAATAATTGTGATTTCTGTACTATTTTCCCCAAGAACTTCACATCTAACAGTATGTGAGCAGACCCCAGCATGCTCCTTGGCAGACATTGCACAAAGTACATGGACTGTGGAAGATTTGAGTCTCTAATAGAAGAGTGCTTAACAGTGCTTGGGTAACCTCTTCCTCTTGTCATCATAGATTTTTTTAATGAATTATTGTTTAAGCCTTCCTCATGGCACCTGGCTGTATTTTAGGGCATCTATACATTAAAGCCATACTTTTTCCAAAAGCATGTTTTTCCTTGTCAAGCTTAAAGTTCCAGTTTTAAGTCCTGAGCCATCCTACTGAGCTCCTGGGTTAAGGGTCTGGTGGCCAGTGGCTTGCAGCTGTGGCACTGGTATACACAAATACCAGAGGACAAGGGATGCAAGCTTCATCTTGATAAAACAGGTAAAAGCCAAAACAGATTTAAAAAAAATAAATAAAATCATACCATCTAAACAAGCAAGTACACAATATATTTAGGCTGCAATCTGCAAGATATCCAGCTACTTGCAATGAGTTCACACTGCTCAGACCAGCGCCACAGAGGACACTTGACAGTGGTTGCAGCCCTGGGCTCCCAGAGGCTGTCAACACAGCAGAAGATGATGGTGTGGTCTTCGGCCAAGCGACTGCACAGCCTGCTTCATCTCTAATCTCTGGGAGACCTTTGGCAAGTCAGCTAACGTTCCTGACTCATATCCCTCCATAAAATCTTTATTGTGCTTTTTTCGGGCAAAGTAAACACTATTAGAAACACGACATCAGTAAAGGAGAGCAAGATCAGGCTGTTGGAAATAATTTGGTTACATTTCAAAGCACTTAACTCAGCAGTACTTTTCTGAGCAACTAGCACACAGGTAAAAACCCAGAATTAATCATTTAAAGAAAGAGTTGCAACTCAGTAAAATGTCCCACTGAGCTGCCAGGTCAATACTGAAATCACAGAATACTTTAGAATATATGCTAAGTCCCAGTTAATACCAGATAACACAGTATTTCACTATTTCATTGGCCACCTGTGATAGGTGAAGAAGCAGTCCAATGTAATTATAACCTCCAGTATCTACTTTCGCACCTTGGTGAATGCTTTCCTTAGTTTAGCTTGCTTTTTGTCCAGATGAGAGGCAAAACATGCAGCATGCTTGGAAAGCAAGCTACTACCCTTAACTGATTAGCAGGTGTAACATTTGTTAACTCAGTGCAGTTTCAGGTCTGAGCTAAATCAATTAAAACCTCAAGCTCTGGAGAAAAAAAAAACAACACAAACAATCCTGGACTAGCCAACACCAGCTCTGAAGCTGCTGTTCTGAGCTGCTGCTTTAGGTGATGGTTTAAGTAACACATCTCAGGTGAGCTTTCATGATTTTGGGTTGTTTTCTAAGGGAGCACTCACTTAAACTTTCCCAGCCAAGAGTCTGCAATGAGCGCTCCAAGGATCGGTGTCAAGTAACACAGTGCAACGAACGTGTGGTAGATGGCTGTAGACAAGTTGTCATCCCATTGCAGGAAATATTTGAAATACAAAACGAGCACCGCTGTAGGAAGAACAAAATGATGGGTTACAAACTGAAGTCAGGTCTGGGTAAGTAATAGTCAGCATGAGGAGACGCGGGGCATTGGACATACCTCGCATGCCATAGTAGGAGAACCGCTCACAGAACTCATTGATGATGATGAAGAAGATGCTCAAGGGGTAGCCCAGGCAGCTTGGCTGGAGGCAAGAGACAGCGTGAGCTCAGAGCTGTGCAACACAAACATCGCTCTCCGTGCCCCACGGCCTGAGCGAGCTCCATACAGACTCAGCAGGAATGGGTAGGTACTCAGGGGTGAGGAGGCTGTAGAACGACACTGGTTAATCTGAACCAAGAGTCAATTCTCACTTCCCCCTCTTGGTCCCAGAGCTCTACAGATCTTATCTGCCCTTTGCAAGAGATCTTCAGCAACACTATATTTAACCTTCAAGCACATTTGAAATCTTCAGAATTTAACCTTAGAGCAATCTTGATTGGTATCCAAAAATATGCAAAAAGCCAATTTTTTTGAATAAAATCAAAACGCAAACCCAACAGAAAACCCACCATGCTAAACCCCCACAGCACACCACAGTTAGAAGCCTGGGGCTATTTTTAAATGCCTCCAGTTGAGACAAACATTTAAACATTTTATTCAAACAAATCTCTTTGAAGCTTCCTGTCCTCACAAATACTCTGCTTGATGAAGAATCCTTTTCTTCAGACCTGCTGATAGAACTGACTTTACTCCTAATTTAAAATGGTACGACATTAACAGCCAGATTTACTGAGCCTTCACCTGATGCGACAGGCATCTCCACAGTCACTGTCACGCAGCTTGTGACACGGCTCTTGCCATTGAGACAAAGGGAAAACATACATCAGGTACAAATCTGGCATGATCAGTAGAATCGGAAGTTTAACTTCTGATTGCCTACTTTTCTTAGTGGATGACTACATATCATTTCTATTAAAATGACCAGGAATGCAAGTTGAACATAATCCTCCCCTTTTAATGGGCTTAATTCTGCAAGTTGCAAAAATCACATTTTTTTTAATAAGCTTCAGAACATCTCAGAGGTAAAACAGTTATGAAACTTGAGAAGCACAGACAAGAAAAAAAAATGGCATCGTTTGTCTTCATGTTGTAAGGGTTTGGGAATCAAAACAATCTGTATTCCATGTGAAACAGAAATAAGTTAACTTTGCAGATCAAAAGGGAAGAAACCTTACATGGGAAAATCCTGCTTGACACGAGTAAATCAGAAAGCCCATGTCTCCAGCAAAGCTGCTGGCCAGAGCCGTAACGAACAACACAACACTTCATGACACTTGAGTGCTACAATAAGCTTTCTCTGAACACTGCAAGAGAAATGAAAATAAGAGAGAGTGGCAAGAGTATCGCTGACTTGAGACTAACTCAGTCACGAGGATGTCCAAGCAGCCTGAACAGCACTGATCTTTGTTATCAGCTGAACCAAGTATATAGTGGACATCTTACCCATGGTTTGATAATCAGGCTTCACTGAAAGAACCTGACTTCAGCTGAGGTGAGTGCCAGGTGGGACTCGTATAGCTTAAAGCAACCAAGATCAGAGGCCTAAACAGAAACTTGTGACTCTTGATTTATCACATTCTCCATGGTCAGAAAGAGGGGTCTCCAAAGGAAGCCCATCCAAACGTATTCAAAATTAGATAAAATTCACTCAGAGGTGCCCATTTCCCTCAGCTGAAGATGGTAGGAACTCTAGATGACTAGCCCCAACTTGGACACAGCTCTTGGCAGACTGGAGTTCATGCAGAAGAATGGTACCCAGCCCTGTCTCTGCACCATCCCCTAAGCCATGCAAATATTCATGCTTCAGAGGAGACCAATAGAGAACCACACCGTGAAGGTTTGGCTCAGCACCCGCTAGAGATACCCACAAGGTTTTGATTTCAGCAGTTGCTAGGCTACACCCTAAAACAGTAACCCACGGTGCAAGACTGGTTTCTGCCAGGGTAACTGGGTATAACCCAGCTCAGGAGAAGAGGATGACCCCACCTGAAGCAGAACAAAGCCTTCCCCGTGTCTGTCCTGCCTACAGAGTAAAAAAAGGACAGGGCAGTCCCGACCTGGGGTCTGGTGGGACCCATCCCCTCGAGAAATTCACAAAACCTCACTAAAATCTTTTTGACTTTCTCAGTGTTCTCAGAAACATCCCCAGTGTTACGCCATCACACTACCCAACAGCTTACTGTTTAAGAGAATGTTACAGGCTGATCTGGGGAGATAACAAGCTTCCACCAAGGCTGGATTTCTGTTTTAAGCCACCAAGTGCTTATGTGCCTGGCAGAGACGTCCTGCGTTCACGTGCCAGCACAGTAGGCACTGGTGGGTTTTTTCTGGCTGCCCCTGAACTGGTGGAGATCTGCACGTCACAGCAAGGGCTGAGCATGAGCAGGGGCATACAGGAGAAAGCTATGGGGTCTTTCCCAAGGTAACAGACCTTCTTTTGTTTTTCCAAGATGCTACAAGCAAGAAGAGAATATGCAGTTGTGTCTTGATAATATATGACCTATACTGTTCTTGTCTTGCACTATACTGTCCTCTTAAATATCTGTTGCATTATACACATGCACGTATTTACTAAAACATTTTCTGTTGTGATCCTCATTGGCCAGGGAGCACTGGATACACCACTGAAGAGGTAACCTGAAGGTTCACGTTTTATACTGCTCTCTGTAACCTTTCCTTGCCCTGGGGATGCCTGGCACAGGTCTGACACCACCCCACTGCACAGCTTTGACTTTGGCTGCTGAGGAAGCGACTAAGCTGTGAGAAAGCTGCGGGGAAAGTCTACGGAGTAAAACCTTACAAGATAAGAAAAGCAATGGCAGAGATAGGGTTGCTGAGACAGGTGTCATTAGCAGTTCAAAGATTCAAGAGGAAGAACTAACACCGAAAGGTAAAAGAGCCCTAAGGGAGAGTCGGTGGATGATGACAACTCAGCCACACGAAGGACGGGCTCCAGGGAACCCTTCTCCTCCCAGCCGATGTCTGCTCAGTCAGCAAAGGCTCTTCAGACATTTTATCGGGCTGGTGAGCGCACTAATGCTTAGCTGGAATTTAATAAGCTACCAGGCTGCTTTGCGCATGTTGGCCAATAACTCATTATTTTATACTTCTAAAGTATGTTTACAGGATGATTTTTTTTGTCCACTGCTAAAGTTACCCAAACAATGTAACCCAAAAAGAGTCAGTATTGCAACTTTTTATAGGAGAAAACAGTACTTACCGACTTGCCCTTACTCTTACTTTTTGCAGCTGTGGAGGGAAAAAAAAACACAAGTTAATGAAAACTACTAAGTAACATTCCTTTAAAATCACTAGAAGACATGGGAAAAGTTCAGCTCAAAACAAATCGTGAAACACAAACACAGTAGTGTTCAGGGTGAGTAAATTTTCAGTTTGTTAAAGGGGGACTTTTCAGGGTGCAAGAAGGTTATTAGGAAAAACTTCACTCAATAGCCTTTTGTTTTTCAGGCTACACATAGAGTTACATACACTCCCAGGGAAAAATCAAACAGAGACAAAGCATCCTATCCTACTATGACTGCTCACCGCACATCATTCAAGGTGGTGGTAGACCACTCTACCACCCACGGAAGATGAATCCTGTTTCAATTCACTCTCAGGGACATTACCTTAAAGGCAAGTCAAGAGTAAGGAATAGAGTCAAGATGCCCTGCCAGAGGTGGATGCCAAGCCCTGAAAAGGGACAAACTTCCCATTGCTCGGACTTAAGGAGGGCTGAATACATGTCCCAGTGGAGTGATCCACATTAGCAGGCATTCCCATAACCTGGGGATTAACCTAGGAAGCCCTGGAAGCACAGGAGGAGTCCTATGGAGGTCAGCAAGAGCAGCCAGCTGCTTGCAGCCCTGAAGTCACTTCCAGTTGCTCACGGCAGGTTCGCTACCCCTGGCAGCCCTCCAAGGAGTGTCCTGCAGGGCTTGCCTGACTCAAGGGACGGGCTCGAAGGCTGAACTTGCTCCATTTCAGATAAAAGCCTTGTGCCCACCTAGCAGGTGTCAGCATTTCCTACAAAACCACATAAGCGAGTTTCATTATCATTAAGATAAGACCAAGTACAAGATGTGAACTTTGAAATCCCTGCTTGCAAGTGAAGTGTGCCCATAATAGATCTCTACAAAAAATATGCTTGCCAAGGTCATTATTTAGTCCATAGTTCACAAAAGATGTAACCAGCTGACAGCAACACTACGGTGTTTGACACAATACTAAATAAAGCCACTTTCAAAAATTATTAAAACAAATCAAGCTGATTCTTCACTGCCATGGACAACTACCTTCACAGCAGAGACAGTAACATTACACAGGCAATTCAAACATATATTTTTCTAGAAAACAAGTAACATCCAGAAAGTGCTGACACACCAACTTCAGGGCACATGCAGATACCCGAAGCATTAAAATTATTGGTAATGCCCCTTACATGACCCATGTGAGCAGATATACTGAAGGATACCAAGGCATTAGTGATAGACTATCTTCATAACCACTCTTTGATTATTTCCACTTCTTGGCCTTTCCAGCATACAAGCATCATGCTGCCAGTTTTTCATAACCCATACAGGAAACACCAGTTTGAGCAGCTCACTCCTGTCTGTTAGCTAAGCCTTGGGGAAAAAAAAACGAACAACAACAACTACAAAAAAAAACCCCAAAACAAACAAAAAAAAAAATCAAGGAAGTTGTAGTAGGTTGGTTTTTTTCTGTTCCAGAGGGTTAAGTATCACCTCTGCAAGAAACCTGATACAGAGGACATCACAGAGGCATTTTTTTCTGGATGACACTGACTGACTTCAATGTTTAAAAGACACGCTTATTTCTCAGGGATTTTGACTTTCCCCCTCTCTTCTTTTGCAGCCACAATCGGAGAAACTCCAGATGGCATTGAAGCCAACATTTCAACATAGGCACCTAAGCTGTCTGAGGAACTCCATGGTCAGGAAGATTCTGGGTTAAACCTACAAAACTAGAGAGCACCCAGCATTTTCCATCAATTTTATTGATAAATCAGGGGCTCGCTACTGGCACATTAGAGCAGCCCCTCTT